TGAAGATTGGTGCTTTAAAGCTTTTTCGGGGCGAAGCTTGCATATTTACACACATGTGCAAAGCGCGGTGGAAGCTAGTATGTCCAGTCCACAGTTTGAACGGTGCAGTTAACCAATGTGGGAGTCCTGACTGTTAGTCGTGTCCCCTCGGGCGCTATCGTGACTGTGGTTTTCCATCATTCCTAAAGCGAATAATTAGAAGTAATGATAGGCCCCAATACTCCCCAGAGTGGGTTTATTAGGCCATTCATAATAAACATATCTGGTTTCGCCAGTGGCGTTTAGGCCCTCGGCATTTAGGAATTGTCTAACTCTCTGGAGGGCGCCCATTACGCAAAATTAACCCGTGCATCATCAGGCATCGTGGAGTTAAACCACCAAGGTAGTGTACCCACGTTAAGCTACCAAAGATAACTGTGTTGTTTTGTTTTTATTTTTGGGTATAGATCGATTAGTTTGAGCACTCAGCAAGCACAAATTGGAATTGTTGATTTTTGAAATATTACCAATGTTTTCCTAAGGTTATCGGCTCCTTTTTGTTCGGTGCTTGGGGAATTGTAACTTGTTTTAGGATGTCCGACATAATGCAACACTTGACATTGGCGGATTCATTCGTAGCTAGCTTGATTGTTCAGCGTTTGGTTTTTGCTCAGGCCAACCACAATTTATGATGACTCATCGTTCGTGCTAGCCTGAGCTGCATGCTCAAAAAGAAATTGATTTCTGGAAGTTTAACATTTTGAAATTACTTTAACAGCCGCTTTGAGAGAATTTGCGTTGAGGCATGAATTATTACCCGAAGAATTCAACAAACATGTGTTCATGAAACCTTCAAACTATATGTCAGGTAAATGGTTTAATCGCTTAAAGAAAGAAAGATTGGGTTTGGAACACTTCAGATGTCAAATCAATTTCCATAAAGTACATTAATTCTTCGCAATTCAAGCACAAACTAATGATTTCTGGCAAGTCTTGGGAACGAATGCGAGTCAAGGAATCAGACACTGCGTGTTGATTGCCTTTTCAATGCCTAATTGAGAAATGAAAACGTGGCGATTTCAACGCCATCTCATCGATCGCCCTTGGAAATCCTTTTGGGTCATCAATCATTTAAGAGAAGTGTGATTTGTAACTACTTCGAACCCATATTCTTCCATATAAGCGGGGAATTTTAAAATTATCGAAAAGACCGCTAAACACTTCACTTCTCAGACGGAACATGGATGGGAAGTTGCGGACCAAATGTCAATTCTAATCGCAAACATGTAAAAATCCGATTTCGACAAGAGGTAATCACGAATAGGCTGAACCTTGTCGTGTCCTATTATGATCTGGTTTTATGATCTTGGAAAGATGCTAGGAGACAAACCAGAATTATTAACCGAACGCGATTTTTCTAATCCAATACAAGACATCCGATTGAATGCGGATTACTGCGCTTTAGGAAAAAATGATGTGCAGCCGCAGAACGTTAACCTTATTTAATACTTTACAAAATGGCTTTGTAAGCTACAAGATCCGGTTCTACTTTTCTTATGTAATCAATAGATTAAAAGGGTAAATAAAAAAATTGAAAATTAATGAAATATTGATATGAATTATCGTTTAATGTGTCTCTATTAATATAAATTATTTTGGAAATAAAAATGTTTAAACGCATTGAAATATTTAGAAAGAATTTTTAATTACTTTATATTTGAACTGATTGTCAACATATTCTTAGAATCTTCTCGTCTTCATTTTTCTAATGGGTAAAATTGAAATTGGAATCCTTTTTTACTTTTCACTCTAAAAGTGTATGGAAATAGAAATGCATGTTTAAGCTTAAATTGTTTCCAATATCATTCCTGACAGGACCGCATTTATCCAGCAAGAATGGAATATTAAATCGAGTACTTATAATCAGTGGATATCTTTCAAATAAAATAAATATATTATATTTCAAGCACTTCAAGCACTTGTACGAATATATGGTAAGAATTAGGAGAACATTTTT